GATTTATTGACACCTTCTTTTCTTGTGTATGAGCCATGCTTCACTGTGCCTTTGCATGTTCTGTTCCTTTCTAATAACGTACTGCAGCAACTCTGCATTCCGTGTTGTCTCACTCCCAATGTGGGATAGTTTGCTATTTTGACTTAATGATGTGCCTGAACTAATTCTGTATCTAATTCCCATCTACCTCCCTCCTTCCTGGGTTTCATTCTTGTTTTGATTTGCAAGCCTTGATTCCTAGGGACTCTTCTGCAGAGGCATCCTTAGTGGTCAACCAGTGATCGGTCAGACATGGTGCTTAAGCACTTGTCAGCCAGGGAAGATCATGTGGGCAGACTGGGGGCACAGGTCCAACTCTAGTCTTGCTTTCATTTTCTGTGTTTCCAAGGCCTCACGCTTGCTAGGGTTCTCTTTGGGCATGCACAGTCCTGTGCATGAGTACAGCCTCACAGACCACAAAAGGTAACACTGGATCTGGTCAAGGCTCATTTTAACTGTCTCGTTCCCCAGATCTTTTTTCATTCAGTTGCTAGCTGCGTGGGCAGTATCTACAGTCTCCACCAAAAGCTCAGGGTAGGTTCAGCTATGAGAGCAGGATTCCCTGCACCACTCAAAGAGCCCCTCCCATGATGCAGGTAGTTTGTGCAACAGAGCTAGGGATGAGGGGAGTTGGGATGGGAGCAGCCCCAGCCTAACACAGTGCAAACTCGCACTGTTCTGAGATTCAGTAGATATTTTTGGGTAAGTGCATCTCAATTTGCTGCATGCCTTTGGTTAATTTACCGTTTTAAAAAACTTTGGGGACAGGGTCTCACTGTATAGTTCAGGTTGGCTTTTAACTCACTGTGTAGCCCAGGCTGGCCTGGAACTTGCTGTGATTCTCCCGCCTCAGCCTCCTGAGTGCTGGGATTACAAGTGTGCACCACCATGGCTGGCTCATTTAAAATTTTTGACACATCAGTTTTATAGTTTCTGTTATGGATAAGGATTTGCCCAGCTGCTTACATACTTGGTCATTCTGAAAGTCCTGCTCCTTAAACTACACAGCTGTGTGTAGAGATTCAGCTGCTCCTGGAAGGAGATGATAGGACCTTGCAGGTGAGATCGCAGGGGTCACCTCAGGGAAATGCTGACTTTCACCTGGAATCTAACTGGCCTCGCAGGAGGCCCGATTTTTTTTTTCTTTCTTTCTTCCAGATAGAACTCACGACTGCCTGCTTGCAAGGCATGTGCTTGTACCGCTGAGCTAAATCCCCAGCCCCCAAGGGGGCCCGATTTTGTAGATTACAGTGCTGCAATAGCCATCCTCTTGCTTGCTGGTTTTTTAGATATTCCTTAACCAGGCTTTTCCAAGTGCGCACATGGATCGGTTACATTCCACAAAGAAAAAGCAGCTTAGTGAGCAAATGCTTGGTTTACACTGATGAGCTAAACAAAATCAAAATGAGATAACGGCAGGACTTCTCTGAGCCTCTAGCATGCTTGTTTTGGTTGAGATTCTCCAAAAAAAAAGAAAAGAAATGCTATGCGTTTTCCAAGATTATGGCCATCAAACACCCGCTTCCTTCACCTTGCAGAGCCTTTCATGGATTGATGCTCCGCGAGACGCGCTGTGATGTGCTTTTGGCCACTGGATCAGCAATGCCGATGTGTTAAGAAGAAAGCACGTGACAGTCACCAGCCAGAGGCACCGACCTTCGACCTTCCAGGTGCGGCAGGGAGCGGGAGCTTCACACCGGAAAGGAATAGGGAGGGAAGTCCTCATATGGCCAGCCCCTCCTTCTGGGGAAACTCCCAGTTTCTGGGTCTCTCTTTATTAAGGATCCACCATGTGCCAGACATGAAGCCAGAGTCTTGAAAGGCAGAGATAAAAAGAGCACAGTACCTCTCCTTAGAGTGTAGCCAAGAGCCTGATGGAGGAGTTAATCAAGACTGAGCGGAGGGGCAGGAGGAGACTGGACAGGGCCCTGGTGTCCTGGATGGCTTCCTCAAAGGCAGAGCGAGCAGCTCCCACAGCTGGGAGATCTGAGGAACCCCAGCCTGCTCGGAAGCCGCAGTCTAGCTCCCGCAGCCTAGCCGCAGCCAGTATGGGACGCGAGCACTGCGCACATAAAAAGGGGGCAAAACATAAACGGCTTTGCAAGGTTAGGTTCGCTAGGGAGTTGGAGATTTAGCCCCAGGGTGAAAAGGGATGACTGATGACTACTGAATCTTAGGGTCAGATTTGCCTTTAGAAATCTCCAGAGGTCTAGCAAGAAGATGAAGGCCTGAACTATGGAGATAAAGATGGAAAGGAGACGGCAGCTTTGCAAGTTTAAAGTGATAGAGCTGGCCAGGCATGCTGTCATATGCCTGTAATCTCACCATTCTAGGCAGGAAGATCTCACCATTCTAGGCAGGAAGACTGAGGCAGGAAGATCACTGCTAGTTTGAGGCCAGCCTGGGCTAGAGTGAGACCCTGTGTCAAAAAATACAAAGATAAATGAAAATATAAGATAAAGTGTTAGAGGGGCTGGATTTAGCTCAGCGGCATAAGCACCTGCCTTGCAAGCAGGCAGTCGTGAGTTCGATCCCTGGTACCGATAAAAAGGAAAAAGACAAAAAAAAAAGATAAAGTGTTAGAGCTGGGTGAATTAAAATGTTGGTGTTGAGGGAGAGGCATTTCCAGATTCATCACTTGAATAATCACAGGCAATGGTTCTGGGAACATAGGACAAGGGGCAGGTTTTGGGGGAAGTTTGGTCTTCAGAACTGCTTGCATTCAATCTGACATTCCAGTGAAACGTGAGCCATTTCAGGACTGGCAGGAACACTGGGTCCAGAAATGCAGATTTGACAGGCATCAGAACAAAAGTTGTAAGTGTGGATGTGACTGTGTAGCAAGTGTGTAGACAAGACAGCAGAGACAAGGGCCAGGAATGCAGCTCAGTGACACAGCACATGCCTGGCAAGCACAAGGTTGTGTTTGATTCCCAGTGCAAAAAAGAAAAAAAAAGCAGAGACTTCTGCTTCTAGGGTAATTGTTACCCCTCCCTCACCTGAGTCCCTACAGTGCTTACAACTGACATGGAATCTGTTAACTGTGCAGCGAACACTTACTTAGCTTGGTCTCTGCTGTGAAGAAAGTATCATGCTACAAGAGGGTACAAGAAAAAGTAAGAAACCAGGTGTAGTGCACACCTGTAATCCCAGCACTTGGAAGGCTGAGGCAGGAGGATTGCTGCGTTCAAGACCAGCCTGAACTACATAGCAAAACAGTTTTTAAAAAAAGAAAGAGAGGGTCCTTTCACCTAAGGAGACCATGATCTAGTTGAAGAGGAAGAATTATATTCAGCAAGTATGCAAAAGAATGAAACAGAAGATACAAATGTGTTGAGTGTAGAAGCAGCAAATGAGCCAGGGATGGTTGGTACATGCCTGTGATCCCTGCACTCAAAAGGCTGAGGCAGGATTGCTGCAAATTCTATGCTAGCTTGGGCTACACAGTGACACCTTGCCTTTAAAAGTGGGGAGGGGCTGCAGAGATGGCTCAGTGGCACAGTGCCTGCCTAGCAATCACGAGGTCCTAAGTTCAATTCCCGGAAAAAAAAAAAAAAGAGGTAAAAACAGCAGCAAGTGATTCAATGGATGAGAACATGGGTTTCAGAAGGGAGGCATTTGAGCTGGGCTTTGCAAAGGAAGTGGGTTTGGGAAGGCAGGGAAGAGGAAAGGCAAGCAAGGCTGGAAAGAGCTTCACAGGGAGGCTGTGGATTTAGATCAGCAGCACAAGGACCTGCCTAGGGAGTGCTAGGTCATGAGTTCAATTCCAGGTACCAAAAAAAAGGAGAACTCAACAGAATGGAGTATAGGAGATGATGGGGAGAAACACGCTGGGTGCTAGGAAATCTTGCTGAGGTTTCCTAGGAGTCCATTTGAAAGAATGTACACATGGACATGTGTACCTAACACCTCTGCCTATTCCCTAGTTTCAGAAATACAATGGTACCTTGGCATTATAATTTGTGTATAGATGTCCCCCAAAGCCTCATGCAGTCATAGGGCTTTCTTGGAGGTGGCTGAATCTAGAGTTTAAGATTGATTCACAAACCAATGCTGGCATCAAGGGTGTGAGTGCTATACCTACCTAGAGCAGGCAGCCCACATACAACATAAGGGGCAGAAAGAGGCTTGTCTCCCTCTCCCTTGCTGCTTTTGCTGTCTTTCACTACCATGAACTGTTGTCCCTCTGCCATTAGCCACCCTGCCCTGGATGCAGCGGATCATGAACTAAAACCTCTACGGTCTATGAGCTAAACAAACCTTTCCTCCCTTTAACTTTGGGTATCAGATATTTTGTCTCAGCAATGAGGTAAGTAACTAAAGATACTCAGTTCATGAACTTAATTTGTTCCACAATTCTGAAAAGATGGCCATAGTTGAGTTCGTCACTTGATGTTGAGTTTGCAAACAACTCAACATCGTGAACCTTTAAACACAGTAAGTCAAAATGCTAGTGGGCCTGGTAGTACAGGTTTCTAGTCTGAGCACTCTGGGAGGCTGATGCAGGAAAACCACAAGTTCAAACCCACCGTGAGCAGCAACTTAGCAAATTAGTGAGACCTTGTCTCATAACTTAAAAAGGGGACTAGGAAAGTACCTCACTGAGAAGACCCTAGGTCCAATCCGTCATACTGAGGGATGAAAAGCTGAAGGAAATCTAAAAATCACCAAACTAAAGCTTGAGGCCAATAAATGCTTTTTCTCAGTTATTTCCATTCTGCACAACTGCAAAACTCCGTTAGTGGAACTTTAATTACTTGGCTTCGTTATAAAATTTCCATTGCATATAAGAGTATAAATAGTTTCACTCTAATGCACTCATTTCAATCTGAGGCTGAAAGCACTGGTAGAAGTCTCATTTTCATGTACTTCCTTGGCAGGTTAAGAGAAACAAAATATATACTACTACTCAAGAACTTTAGACGTGTGGGAGGGACTAAAGATAGGAAACAGACAGAGAATACTTTAATAAAGATTAAAAATATTTTATTTAAACTTTTCTTCATAAACACTTTAACATTTTTTCAATTTAAAAACAGAATGGATAGCATAAACATGTTTGAATAGATTATATCCACGGCTTGGGAAAAATTACCTGACAAAAATGTAAAGGCTTTCAAAACAGATATAAAAGGCAAACCTTAAATTGTTCTAAGATTTTATATTGGCCCTAGGATTATTTGACTACTGGCCCAAAATGTACCTAAAGGTCAAAATATTTTTCTATAGACAAAGTATGCCCAAGAGGTATAGGGCATATACAAATTAGGTAGAAAATAACCTCTCTGATTCCCTCTCGGGCACATTCCTCCAGAAACAAACACCCGATCCTTACTGGTATACTGATTAGTAAAACCTTCATGCACTTGTTCCCAGAGATGTAAAAAGAAAATCCAAGAATTTTAAGCAGGAACAAAGCTGATGGCATCCATTCAGTGTTACTCGTGTAATATCAAAGGTTTATGCTATACCGACAGGATATGGTTTCCATGAACTTATCTATTCCAGTCTATGCCTATTGAATATTTGACTTTATAAACTCTCAATAAACTAATTTTTCAGGACTTTTTAATTTTAAGATAAATCTCTTTTTAAGAAGATATTTATTCCCAAACCGACTCTAAATGTGACTGAACAAATGTATGATCTCTAAAAATGTTCAGAATAAAAAAATCAAAAATGTATAGTAGGCAAACAAGAAAACTGGCACTAGCAGTTTTACTGCCATATAGCCCTCAATTATATCTAATTTACACTATATCTATGCTGTTTTACTTCAGTCTAAAACTTTAAATTACATATTCTCCAAAGAGCTAGTCTCTTCTGAGATATAGCTTATAAACTGAAAGAACAATTTATATTATAAACTGAAATGTTATGACCTACACCCACATATACATATATAAAAATAGTTCCACTGAACGTCTGACATGTTTAGATTATGCAGCTCAAATAATTTGTTATAAAATATTTTAAAGCTTAGTTTCATGTAATTAAGACAAAACTCTCCATATTTACCACTTCTCCCCACACCAATGTGTGTCCTTTCCTACGAGTCAAGCAGGCTTCCCAGAATGAGGTGTCCGAAGGTGCTGCTTTAGAAAGGTAAGCGAAGGGCTCAGTCGTCTTGCACGATGAGAGTGACACGCACACGGGGCACAGCAGCGAGGGGAGGGCACAGGGAAAGCTGTCTCTAGAAAAGCTAATCATTCTACTCATGAAGCTTTGCTTTTGAAAACCAGTAGCATTTTTTTCCTAATACAAAAACCTTCACTGTGAGAATGTTGCATTTTATGAAAAGGCTGTAGTGCAAGGATTTGCTTTAAAACCAAACTGAGGTTCAAGACATGGAAGAGAACAAACAGTACTAATTAAGATGACATTAATACAGACCCGCTATTTTTATGAAATCTGGCATTTAAAATGTAAAGTGAAAGTAACGCATACAAAGATCATAACAGTTATAACTGTATAGTTTTCAAATCTCTTACTGGATTTTTTTAAAAAACAATTATTTTGTGTATACAATGTATATAAACAAAAATGGTTCCAAATGAAGCACACAAAAAATAAACTTGAAAACAAATTCTATGAAAAAAAATTTCTGTAGTTTAGTATAACAAAAATAAATCTCTTGCAGCAAATACACCGTAATTTTTAAAAGGGAATGTAAGTTCATCATGGATTTAAAATCACCTAAATAAGAGATACATATAAACAGAAAGGTTATCTCATACATTCAGAACTCAAGCAACAGCAACTATTCTTAAAGCTCATGACTGATTATAGCTAACATCAGGGTAGACATGACTTACATGAAGCTGAACCCAGAGTTAGTTCAAGTTACAATTTCATCAACTTTACGAAACATTAACGTTGACCTTGGCCTTGCATCTTTAAAATGGAAGACCAAGAATATTCAATTGTTTGCTCAGATGCTACCCCCTAGGGGTTCTGAAATCATATCTAAGCAATTAAAGAGAAACACCACTGGAGTGTAAAGCCTTTGATGTGGTACCCTGTCTGATGGCTCTATCTTGGGTCTTTTCCGGCAAAAGACATCAACAAGGAAAATAATGAAGACATTATTTTCTTTCTTTAAAGCAGGAGCCCATACACACAAAATCTTACATGAACTAATGAATTTTAAAAATTAAATGGATAACTCAATTCCTAGTTTGCCAAAGTAAAATTGCTGGGTGTAAATGGAACGTGATTGCAATCCCAGCACTTGGGAGGCTGAGACGGGAGGATTGTGAGTTCTAAGCCAGCCTGGGCTACACAACAACACCCTGTCTCAAAAAAAATAAACAACAACAACAACAAAAAAGAAAACAGTGAAACATCAAAAACAAAAACTAAAATAATTAAAAATTATTTTTAAAATCTAGAAAAAAGACTTTCACCCACATTTCATAGAAAACTAAGATACCAAACCTCATTTTTAGAAATTCTAAATTAGGCTGGTCCAAGTGCAGTGGTGTTTACAACTAATTGATCACAACCAGTTACAGATTTCTTTGTTCCTTCTCCATTCCCACTGCTTCACTTGACTAGCCTTAAAAAAAAAAGAAATTCTAAATTAATAAATACTTGATTAATGAAAATTAAAATTTCATAGAAGCTGGGCATGGTGGCACATTCCTGTAATCTCAGCAATTTGGGAGGCTGAGGCAGGAGGATCACTGCAAATCTGAGGCCAGCCTGGGGCTACTTAGTGAGTTCATAGTGAGTTCAAGGCCAGCCTGCATTACCATGCAGATCCTGCCTCAAAAGACCAAAAAAAATTTAAATTTCATATACAAAAGAACGTTACTATTAACTTGATTTCTGAAACTCATGCCAATGTTGCTTTTTTCAAAAAGCTATTTGTGTACCTGATTGTTAAGCTAACACATGTCCAAATTTTGGTGTTTTAAAATTGGGTTTTAAAGGCTGGGGATACAGCTCAGCGGCTCAGCGGCACAGTGCCTGTCTGGCAATCACAAGGTCGTGAGTTCAATCCCTCTTACAAAAAATAAAAACACTACACTTTAAAAAAAATAAAACTGGGTTTTATTTTGAAGTATTTCTAGTTAACAGCTAAAAAGCACCCTCCACAAAAAACAAAGTCTTCACATTTCCGCGACTTCACGCTTCCACTTTGTGTTCAATGGTGGCAGCAGCAAAAAAAAGAAAAAGGTACTAGAAAATGTATACAACAGCAGCCATATAGAAGGCATTGCAATATTGCACCAAATATCCTAAGATCTGGCAAGTTTTGCCAATGTAGATTTAGTCTGTATCAAATATAGACTACTCATAAGAAAATGGCATCTGCTTAAATGACCCATTCTTCCTTAATTATGTCATCTGTAATTTCCTCTCTCATGATTAGAACTGAAAGATACAATTCATTCTAAAATATCTATTCTACTCCTTTTAAACAGGTACTCTTGATCCATTCTGAATTTTGTGGTTACTATCCTTCACTCTAGTAGCTTCTGGTAAATAAAACAAAACCTAGTGCCTCTGAATATTTTGTAGGAAATAAATAAGCAGATATAACCAGGAACATTATAATTCTCTTTCTTACCTTTTAAGTCAAAACTGAGCTCAAATTTTCTAAAAGTTGCTACCCTCCATTCAATAACAGATGCAGCAGCCTTGCTGAATGTAAAGTGTGGGAGTTACACTTACTTTTAAGGGGCATTTAGGAGTCTGGTATTACCTAAATTCTCTTTAAAAGTGCTTGCACGCTGCAGGGTCAGATTCAGAGCTTGTCATATACCACTCCGATTCTCACTAAAAACAGGACAATATTAGACTGCAAAGAAAAACATTTTCAAAAAGAAAAGACATCGATAAAGAACATTAACATTCACTTTTGAAGAGAAAACACAAAATGCTAGTTTTTTCATAAATCCATACACATTTCAGGAATATAAAAATTCGAATATTACTGAATCTGCATGGACTGAAGACTGGCTACTTTGATACCAAATGAGGACTCCAGTTATTTTCACTTTCTAAAAATGTTAGTACATGAAAACACGTCACATCTAAAATTCAACAAGTATGGCGAACCGTGTGTGCAAGTGCACTAGCTTAAAAATATAGAATCCTAACCACGCATAAAAGGGATGTGCCTTATATATTTATAGGATGTACGCGAGTATGGATATGCTTTCACTAACACATTGCAGATAAGAGAAGGCAGCTTAGAAATAGTGTTCTGAATATAAAAAGTTAATTTTGTAGAAAATTTATATTTTTGCATTTTCAGCAAAAAGCCATGCAAAAAGGTCAAGAGTTTTAAACTTTTAAATAATAAAACCAAAACATTTAACAGACTGAAACACTGAAATTAATGTTCAAAAAGGTTTCAGATAGAGCTAGGAACTAAAATCACATCCAGTGACACTTATTGGGTCTTCTCTTAGAAGATGCAGGACTCCTACGCTAACATCTGAAAGAAATCTTTAAAGCAGAAAATCAACTTCCCAGGTAAGTGGAGCATTCTATTAAACTGCTTCTGGAAGTAGTTTCAAGAGCTAGCACTTAGAATTAACTTATTGCATGAGTTTGAGGCCACTGAAAAGAAAAACAGGGATGCTAGCACAGAATGAAAAATTCTTACAATATTAGACCAATGGCTTTGATAGTAAAACTGGTGAGGTTTTTCCTTATGTTTTTTACCTAACTACTTCACCACAAACAAATGTTTTGTTTGCTTTTTTTTTTTTTTTGAGGGCAAAAGATGTCATTAGTTACAACGCCTGACCTCATCCAGTACATAGTCCGGAAAATGCAGATTGCATACTTGTAAACCATCCAGCTTGCAGGGCATCCGGGGATACTCATCTTCCTTCCATTTGTTTTCATCTGGATCGAAAGTGAGGATAGAATCACTGTAATGACCATTATAACAAAGGCCTCCAAGAACCATTATTTGTTTGTCCAGCACAGTCACACCATGGCCACTTCTACCGATTGGCATGGATGCCAAGATGGTCCACTGATCAGTCTCTGGGTTGTACACTTCTGTGGAAGGGCAGCCCTGAGATTCAAAAGAGGCCCTCAAGATCACACAGACGCCACCAAAGACATAAAGCTTGCCATTGTAGGAAATCATCTTGTGAAAACATCTTGCGTAATTCATCTTGCTCTTGTTTTCCCAGCAGTTGGTAACTACTTGAGTTCTCCTGGTCCTCTGCTCGATGGTCCCTTCTTTACTGGGGTCAAACACGCACACTTGTTTAGAGGTGGAAGATGAGGTGATTCCACCCGTGATAAACAACTTGTTATTGAGCACTGTCCCCTCATGTCCATATTTGTTAACTGGGTAGGGGTCCACAAATTCCCACTTATCATTGGTGATGTCATATCTCTCTGTTGAATAGAAAGTCTCATCTCTGGTTCTGCCTGCTACAGCATAAATGAACTTCCCAATAACACCAACTGCAAATTCTGAGCGTGGTACAGACATGTCTGCCATTCGCAGCCAAGAGTTCTGTCTTGGGTCATACCTGAACACTTTGGAAGAGGCATGGAATTCACCATCAGGGCCTAGTTCTTCCCCACCTAACAGGAACACAAAGTTATTGATGATAGCAAGGCAGTCTGGCCGAAGAGGTACTTGTGGGCCCTCCAGTTCCCACCAGACTCTTGGTTTCTTTAACAGAAGTATTTTACTGTTAACCATGCTATGTCCAATCATTCCTCGGAATACTGTAGTCTGGGGTTTGGCAGAACGAATGCGGCTTGATTTCATGTCCAATAAAGGCTGCTGATGGATATTCTGAAAGTAATTCAATGCTTGGTCAACTTCATAGCGCAGCTGTCGGGAGTATCTATAAAATTCTGAGGTCTTAACCTAAAAATACAAATAAAACAATTTAACGAAAAGAAAAATCATCAATGGCAGACAAGATTTCAAAACCTACTAAAACCATTATTTTAGGTTCCTTTACTAAAACTGCTTTTCCTGGTAAAATTACCTACTTTCTACTTTCTATGACATTTTAAAATTGCATTGGCTTTTTTTTTTTTTTTTTTTGGTGTTTTTCTTTTTTATTGGTACTGGGGATCAAACTCACGACCACACACTTGCAAGGCAGGTGCTTATGCCGCTGAGCTAAATCTCCAGCTCCTTGCATTGGCTTTTATAACTTGTATTTGTAGTCATATATAACCAGTCTGAGTAACTTAGCAAGACTGTCTCAAAAATTTAAAAAGGGAGCTGAGGATATAGCTCAGTATGAAGGCTTTGGGTTCAATCCTCTTTACCACTAAATCAAATCAAGTTAAATCTATTTTCCATGCACAAGTTATGTTCCAGGCAGAAATAAATTCCTAACGAAATGTATTAGGTACTTGTTATGTCAGGCCCTAGGCTACAAGTGGGATCTAAGAAGTCAGATACGGGGTTCACAGCAAAGAAAGCCATGTCTGTGGTTTTCTGAACTACAGGAGACACTGTAAAACTACAACTGAATAATTGGAAATATAATTTGGAAAGTTATATTAGTGATTTAGTAAAAATTCCCAGCAGAAATACATGCAAAACTCACAGGTTTTTGACATAAACATTTAGTCTGTTTCCAACAACCTCTACATTAACAATTCAGTAGATAAGAATAGATAAAACTCCTTTTTGGGTTTTGGAGCTGGAACCATGTAACGATGATGACTCTCAAGACTTTATGAAGCACTTTTAAGGGTTCAACTTGGGGTTATTAAAAAAATAAGTGTAAGATGTGGTCCATTTCCTCAAAGAACTTACAATATATTTTGGAATATGAAACACAACACACTAAGTCAGCTGACAAAATAGGTATGGAGGTATACAGCACATCTCCAAGCATTGCAGCATTTTCTATATCAAGCACATCAAACTAACCCAAAACACTCAAGGGATACTTTGTGAGAGAGGTAGAATATTGGAGAACAGCAGACAAAGCCGGACTGTAATATGAAAAGGGTGAAGTAAAAGGATATTAAGTGTGATTGGAAAACTGAGATTTATACAGATAAAGTCTACAAATGTCCATGAAGTAGGAATAGGGTTAAAAAAAAGTAAAGTTTCAAATAATGATTTGAGGATATAGATTTGAAGTGGTAGGCAGACATGATATCCTACCAAGACAGCTGGGTGTGGTAGCGCACACATGTAATCCCAGCATTCAGGAGGCTAAGGCAGGAGGATCACCATGAGGTCAGGCCAGCCTGGGCTACATAGCAAGATCCTGTCTCAAAAACCAGACAAACAAAAAACCCAGACAGCTGATTTGGGAGAATTATTCAACTTCTCTGGCATAGTGAGCTGCTGGTAAAATGAGGAGAAAATAGCTAAAAGCTGGATGAAAATCTGAGACGACATTTTGGGAGGACTCAAAACCAAGCACATGGTTTATGATCTTTCTCTCCTTTTTTCTCTTTTTCCTCCTTGCTATCTTTCTCTCTCCTTGATTCATCCAAAAATGTAAGTAATTTTATAACTATATTCAATAACTGGTTTCTCTTGTAATTCCAAGTATTTATAGAATCATTATTCTGAAAGGGGGGTCCATTCATGGAGTTCACTAGACTAAGGTAAAAGGCATGAAATAAGGTTGAGAATCCCTTGCCTAACTGTATGAGAAAGAAAACTAACACTATTACTGCACTGGGCCTTACGTATGTGTATCCTATGTTAAATTATTGCTTCTTGAAAGACCAATTACAATCCCCATTTTTCTAATTTAAAAAACAGGCTTAGACTATTTGGTGACTTTTCCAATTTGCTTATATACCTAAAAATGGTAGTGCTGGGATCTGAACCTTGAACCAGGACAATTTTACTCCAAAGCTCTTTCAATTTTCAGTAGGCTACAGCATACAGCTCCCATTATTCCTTACAAAAATCTTTAAATCACATGGTCATTTACTAGAACACTTAACATGTTCAATGAATGAGCCTAATGACTCTTCTCAAAGAAAAGAGCCTGCAACTGTTCTTAACAAAAAGAATCAATCATATGGATTATAATGATTGGGCATCTAGCTCAATTCTCCCTAGCAAAATAACAACTATGGGGAAAAAAATCAGCAAAGAATGAGTAACAGCAAACGAATTATTTCAATAAAATAATAAAGAAAAGACTATATTGCCACATGACAGATAACCACCTTCCAACTACTCTTTACTACTTGTACTTCACATATATAAACTTAACTGAAAACACAGTGAGCTTCAATCTCTTAGAGAAGCTATGGAATACTGTTCAGCTGCTAAGGATAATATCACTGGTTATTTACTAATACAGAATGATGTTTACAATATATTCATCATCTGAAGGGCAACAGCACCCTGGCACTCTTCCAATTAAATAAAAATTTTATGTATGATTGCTTTAGTAGTAATTCTCTGGAATTTCACAAACATTTTTGCATTCCTTGTTTTTTTTTTTTTGGTTCTTATATAAATGCATATGCTTATAAAAACAGAAAAAATCATTCTTGCCACTTAAAAAATGGGTCTCAGAGGACTAGAGATGGAGCCCAATGGTAGAATGTTTGCCTACTATATGCAAGCCCTGGCTTTGATCTGTAGCACAGGAGAGGGGTCACTGTAGAATGTGTATGTTCTCATAGTCTCCTTTTCCAATCAGTTCGTCTATGAATTCTTTAATAGTCTGCCTTGGCTATTTTTCTTCTCTTTTTCTTATTGACTTGTAGGAGCTACAAGGCAATACTCTAGAAAATCACGAATCATAAACCTCAAATTAAATATTTCAGTGCCTACTGTGCACAGCCAGTGGTCTGAGAGCTACATAGGTTTTTGTTTTTGTTTTTGTTTTTGTTTTTTGTCTTTTTTCTTTTTATCGGTACCAGGGATTGAACTCACGACTGCCTGCTTGCAAGGCAGGCGCTTATGCCGCTGAGCTAAATCCCCAGCCCCTGCTACATAGGGTTTCGAGCCATAGCATCTTGTCCAGCAGAGTAATCAAGCACCATGTTCAGTAGCCTAGTATGGTGATTAACAATTTGATTTAGGAAATTTCTCACTTTGAAACTTTCTAAGTCAGTTGTACAATCTTGGGGATATAACTCAACATCCTAAACCCATTTCCTCTTTGGTATTACTGGGATAATAATAGCACCCATGTGACAAAAAACAAGTGAGATTAAAAAAAAAGTGAGATAGTCCATGTGGAAAGGATTTAGTCTGGTGTCTGCCATGTGGGAGTATGCAAAGAAAATTTAGCTATTAGCTATTATTACTGACCAAGGACATTGGTGAAAATGTCACTCCGCCTAAAATCAATCCATCTAATGATTTTTTTGTTAAGGCTTTCATAAAGCAAAGGAAAAATAAGAAAAACTAATTTTGGATCCAGTCCTCACTAGTAAAACATAATTGGTGATGTGTAAGTAGGAGGCTTTAAAGAAAGCAGCCGTGTTGTTTGGAGACCAAGAAAGAAATGAAGGAGAAAGCTACATATATTGCATAGGCAGAGTTCAAATTTTTCAAAAGAAAATTAGGTCATTTCTAAGATCAGACACTGTATAACGAAGCTTGAGAAGGCTGGGAAGCTCTCACAAACATAATGCTGACTATGTGATTGTGAAACACTGGTGAGGCAAGAGGGAAGTAAAAAATACAATGTGCTACACGGACAGCTTTCTGGATTTCAGATGTTAAAAACCCTTACGACAGATGGTTCAAAAAAAACACATAAAACAAATATAAAGAGTGAAATGGGACTGTAAGAATAGTGAGTGAGGCTAAAGGCACAAGATGAACTGTAGCTTTACAAAGTATCAGATACTGAATAAATGACGTAGTAGAGGCTAAGGAGCCTGGCAAGTGTGACGTCCTGAGTTGAGTCTCAGTACCAAGACAGACAAAAACAGAGAGAGACCGAGAGACCGACCAAAGGAAGTAGAAGAAAAAGTGCAGCCTCCTCTCTCATGAGGTGGTTAATGTAGTATTAACAAACAACAGAGAGAAGCAGCTTTACTCCTATTTTATTTCTATTCTCCAGCAAGTATGTCTTATTCTTTCCAAACTGAAGATCAAATACAATTATTGAGAAGAAACTTAAATCCAAGATGTCTGAGGGGAAAAAAAACCAGCTAGTTTTCTCACCAACTTCAAGTCATTTGATCTCATGAACCGTGTCCGGGGATCCTGAGAAGCATCGCACAGAGGGCTGCTTAACTGCTTTCTGTTTTCTGTGTGGAATCATGAAGAACAGGAGAGGATTAAACACCAGACAGAGTTCCCAACTACAAGCTCGTTAGTCCGAGATGGAGCCTGGATTGTTTAAAAATAGGACTTGAAAATAAGAAAGTGCCATATGCTAGGAGACAACACAGACTCACCGGCTAATGCCAAGACTGAACCTATTTCCTGTTTAATTTTTGATGATGTAATAGCACTGGTAGACAAAGAACCTGTAACTTCAGCAAAGTAATCAACAAAATCTAATCGCAAAGAAAAGAGAAACACTAGGGACCCATGAACCACCAGAAATCGTATTAGTAATTGAACATTAAGGCATCTGGGAGGAAATCCAGTTTTTAACAGATGTTATGGGAATCCACAAATTCCATATGTAAAGGTTTAACTCTCTCCTTAATATGAATGAATGTGATATGGCAGCCTTCAGACCTAATGAAATAAAATTGTGGACTAAATTTAAAAACAGACAATCCCACTCTCTCTATTTGGGTAAAACTACAACCATGGCAGTATTTGGTTCCATCACTACATCTTCAAGAAGATATCGACAAAGCAGACCACATCTGGGTCACAGTGAAGGGACTGAAAGGGAGAATGACTGAACAGGTGAGGAAAGTTTCCATCTAAGAGGAAACAGGTGAAAGAGC